CACCCCGCCCCCCGCAAGCACCTGCTCAGTCTTGTTGCATTTCCCCTTCCTCCTCTCTGCACTTGGGTGTCCGGTTTCACTCTGTGCCTGGGTTCTCACTCGTACATTGCCTTTAGCAAAGTTCTCAACTATTGTTCTGTAATTACATGACGAGGGCCATTAAAAAAGAGAGAGACTGTATATCGTGTCATTTTTAACCGCCTCTTTCCAGAAGCAAAATGGAATAGAACAAAATGCCCATCGTGAGGAGCACAAAGTGCACACATGTTCAGGGAGAGACCGAACAGTCATGTCACAGGTGAGGGGACCGGGATTCTGAGGGCGGGTGCCACGTGTCAAGGTCACTCGGCAGAACAGGGCGTTTGGAACCTTTGGCACCATCCTTCTGCAGTTGGTCATATGGTGACTCAATGGCCCCTGTGTGTCAACGTCTGAGTTCTTTTGGCTTAATCTGGCTCATAACTCTGATCAAAGTGAGGAGGCAGCAATTCCCAAGCCATCCCCACTCTGGAAACCCTGGGTGGAATCAGCACTTCCTTTTTTGAGATATTTGTGTATGTGTGTGTGCGTGAGACTGATGTGTGTGTGTGTGTGTGTGTAGGGGGGAGGCTCTGGAATTTTAGAAAGCTCTGGGTGATTCTAGAACATAAGGTTCCTGCTGGCTCTGGACCCCATTGCCAACCTGGGACACAGGTTCAAGGCTGAAGAGGTCTCTGGGATCAGTGACTTAGATGGCTTATTTCCCAGCACCACGTCAAGGAACGCAGAGGTCACTGTCTCAGTGCCCACTGGGTCTCTGTGACACAGGTGAGAAGCCGTGAGGATTAAATGAGAAAACGAGAAGGCAAGTGCGTTGCACACTGCAGCACGCTACAGCAGCATCTCAACCTTGGTTGTTGTTGTTGTTGTTGTTGTTGTTGTTGTTATAGTTTCTCTTAGGAGCCATTTTTAAAAAATATGTTTTGAGTATGTTTTTCCCCCCAGCTTTACTGAGGTATCACTGACAAAATAATTTGTCAATAATTCACAAATAAATATTTAAGGTATATAATGTAACATTTTAATACACAGATACACTGTAAAATGATTACCGCCATCAGGCTAATTAACATATCCATCATCTCACATAGTTACCACTTCTATTTGTTTAAAATTAATTTCTTAAAAATTATTTTCAGTAAACAGCTTTGAACTTTTGCTTGATATGGCAAAAGAACTAGTTTATGAGTAATGTGGGGCGGGGTGGTCTGGGAGGCCTCTGTGAGCAGGTGGCTCTCCTGGGGATAAGGAGCGAGTCCTGTGTAAGGAAGTGAGAACATTTAAGATCAATCTTAGCAAATTTCAAGTCGTCAAAACAGTACTGTTAACCATAGGCACTGTCCTACACAGCTGATCTCCAGAACTTGCTCATCCTGCATAACTGGAACTCTGTACCCTTGACCAACATCTCCCCAATTCCCCTTCCTCCCAGCCCTCAGCAACCATCATTCTGTTCTCTGCTTGTGTGAGTTCCACTTTCTGAGATTCCACACATAAGTGAGATCATGTAGTATTTGTCGATCTGTGTCTTGCTTATTTCAATGAGCATAATGTCCTCCAGTTCATCCGTGTTGTCCCAAATGACAAGTTTTCCTACTTTTTAAGTCTGAATAACATTCTGTTCTCTCTCTCTCTCTCTCATATATATATAAGATTATATATATATAATCTCACCATTTCTTTGTCCATTCATCTGCTAATAGACACTTAGGGTGTTTCCACGTCTTGCTGGTGTGAATAATGCTGCAATGAACACCGGAGTGCAGCTACCTCCTCAAGGCCCTGATTTCATTTCCTCTGGATGTATATACACTCAGAAAGAGGGTTGCTGGATCGTACTGAGGAGCCGTTTTAGACAATTTTCCCTAATTGTCCACCTCTGTCAAATTGTAATACCATAGTGTGCATATCTGATTACATACTGTATGCATACAGTAAATACTTTATACACATATAAGCTTACTCCTTATATTCGATTCAGAACTAAAGATTACTAAATAGAAATTTTAAGATAATTTTAAAAGCTTATAAATATCTAATTTAACGTTATAACAGTACTTTCTGAGTAAATTTTAATGTAATTCATTTCCTTACCTAAATCATAATTGTCAAATTACATATGCAAAGAAGCAGTTTAGGTAAATACAGAATGATAATAGCGATGTAATAAAACCTTCTATCATTCAAACCTGTCACTTTTGAAAGCAAAATAATTGATAAAATTAATTCCTTAAAAATTATTTTCAGTAAACTTAAGGGGATCCCAGGCCGAGGCCTGTGTGCCAGGAGCCAGGGGCCGGGGTGGGGAGCAACCAAATCAAAATAAAAAATAAAGGAGCTGCCATAGCACTCAGCTTTCGCAGCGTGAGGATGCCCGTGGCACCGTCCTCAGAGTCCTTTCCATGGTATAAACGGTATTTGCCCAACTCTGTGACACAAACCTCCAGTGCAACAGTTGCTCAGGCATCTGTCTCCCCAGTCACTTCGTGTTCCATTCTTATCAGAATCCCTTCTTCACACCCTCACCACCTTCCCAAAGAGTTTGAAGTGGAAACTATAAAGCACAGCTGAAGTAAGGCTCTAAAACAAGAGTTGGAAGGCAAAATATAGGTAAGGAGTTGGGATCATCAAATTTTAAAAAACTGGGGTAAATGTAAGATATTACACAAATATAAGATATTACACAAAATATGGCTTTGAGCTTCCAAGAAACCAAGGTAAAAGGAGAAATGTGATACATTCTAGAGCTTTCAAAGACTAATAAATGACAATATAGAATAGTTGGTGGGACGTGGGCTCTAGGGTCAGAGTGCCTAGGTTCAGAGCCTATATCAATCAGCTATCAGTGTAGCTTTGCCTCAGTTCACACCCGATGCCTGGCCTCTTTGTGCCCACAGGCTGCTCCATCACTGAGGCTGTGACAATCCTAGGGAACAAGCTCAGAGATTATCAGGGGCAGTTCAACACCACCCACCTGCTGGCCCTCTGTGACTACTTCCACAACACCTTCATCCGCCACTACAAACTCTACCAGTATGTCCTGGGCCAGGACCAGGAAGTCAACCTGACTGTCATCCACCTGGAGGTGTGTTTGCCACCCCAGCCCCTCCCACTCTCTGCGGGCATGGACAGGGAGCTGTGGAAGCATGAGCAGCAGGTGGCCGAGCTCAGCATGGCTGAGGTGCAGAAGCGCACCAATGTGCTGCTCCTGAAGGAAACGCTGCACCTGGAGCAGGAGCACATGCTACAGAAGAAGTTCTCGGAGGTGCTCGCACAGCACACCCAGGTTCTGAAGAGAGAGGTAAGGCTGTGCCTTCAAGGTGGGAGGCTGCTCACCGGCCTTGTGCAAATGCCCACTTCTACCAAGAGAACATTCAGGCTGGAGTCAGACACACAGACAAGACTCCCTTGTCTGTTCACGTGGGAGGGGGCAGAAAGAAACCGAGAGTCGTTGAGTATCTCCCACAGGTTTTCCATGCGCATTTCACCAAGCATCCCTGTAAGGTATAGTTCATGTCCCCATTTTAATGATGAGACAACCAAGGCTTCAGAGAATTTAATCAATTTACCCAAGGTCACCAAGCCAGCACGTAGTAGAGTGTGGATTTAGACTGAGGCCTGGCTGACCCCCAAATCCAAGTTCTTTCCACTGCAGCATCGATCAGTGACAGATTCTACCAAAAAAAGACCCCAGACTCTGAACCACCACAAATTCTTTGAGTGTCCTTTGTCTGCCTGCAGAGCCATGTCCATCAAGGCCTGGGGGGCATGATGAAGGATGGGCTGGGGATGGGGACAGCTCAGGGTAGGCGATGTGATAAGGTGGGCAAAGGGGTGGAGACAGTGATCCTAGAAGAGTCTGGTGTGCGGATCTAAGAAACTGGGCTGCCCTCCTGGCAGGTCTTACAGACATCTGGGACTCTCGGAGCCAGAGTCTCCAATGATGAGGTCTTCAGTAAATGTCGACTAGCTTGGTCCCAGGGCAGCCAATCTCTTGAGGGCCTGGAAAAGTCTAAACTTATTTTTCAACTATACATAGTCACCAATATCATCATTGTTACATCGTCTTTGAACACAGAGACATGTGCATGTGTATGTACATGTATGCATGTGATGGGGGGTGGGGAGTGGGTCTGGGAGTGGGGTTGGGCGTCACAGGGCCTGTGTGTTCCAAAAGGGTTTTGGTTTCTGAATTGTCAGCCAAAGAGTAAATGGCCCTGGAAAAGTATTCCTTTAATTATATATAAAACATTGGGAAAATCTCTAAATAACAATTAATACAACAGAATGAATGATATTCTTATGAGGGTAAGTCTCCCGGATAAATAGCACATTAGACTGCCACATAATCTTAGTGCATTAAGATGTCCAACAAGGACCCAACAGAACCCAAGCAACAGCCTGTCTCCACTCCCTTAGAGGGACCTTGCTCTAGAATATGTGGGCAAGGTCACAGGTAGAAGGCACTACCGCCCATCCGGCTCCTACCTCCCCCCACCCCTTGCCCCGACACACACACACACACACACACACACACACACACACACACACACACACACACACACACACACACACAGCTGTTCCTCCCTGCTCTTCCCAGCTCCCCTGTGGGCCTCTATCACTTTGTTACTGATCCCAGCCTCGTGGATTGTGGGCTGGAGTCCTCTCACTGTGTGCCCCAGTGGTATGCCTGAGCTGGGGACACTCAACACCGTAGAATCAACATGATGCATCCTCTTGGAAGACCGTCCTCCCCAAAGATTTAGGGGGAAAACATTCTGGGGCAAATGTAAGATTTTGCAAGAGATTCTAAGTTAAAATGTGAGATCTCAAAGAAAGGTCTTCTGGATGACTGGATACTCCAAGTACGTCCCCCAGTACCCCCCAGGGCAAGTCCGACCTCTCATCTGCTATTTGGTTGCTCAAGGAGAGAAATTGGAGAAACACAATTACACACTGTTCATGTCTCTGGGATTCCACAATGCCGTGATCCTGATCGAGATGACAGAGAGGGTGTCCCGTTTAACACGGCAGATAGAGGCTGGCTGGTTGGGAAACACACACACACCCTGAGCTAGTCTCCATCCCCTCCGAAGAAGCTACTAAACTTTGAGACGTGAGGATGAGATGAAGGCGGGAAGGGAAGGATAGAGAATGATATCCAAATAGAGATTGCACTGACCAAAATACGGGGGTTAACGGACTGGCCCCTGGGGCCCGAACAATGTTAGTAATAAATGACACACTTTAACAGGGCGATTGCCACAGTAGGCATGAAGGAAGAAAGAAAGAAGCAGTTACCGGAATCCCAAAAGACAGATGTAAGAGAGGCCACAGGACAGGAGGTGTGGCTGTAGGTAGAGGCTCATAGCAATGGCCAACCCAGGGCTGGTCAGGAGGAAGGTGAGGGATCTCAGTCCTCTCCCTTGTTCAGATCTCCTGTCAGGACCTCCCACCGAAGGAACTCAACCAGAAGCCAGAGGTCAAGGTGGCCAGTCAATGCTGCCCTTATAAGTCAGAAATGCAGGGCACAGAGATGGGTAGAGAATGGTGGAAAGGAGATCTGGAGGGGGAAATGGAAGGTCCTGGCACACAGTAAAATTGGATCCTGTTGATCTGTAGATGGCTTTAACCCTCTCCTGAGCCCTGTTCTACCAGCCATGTTTTGTTTCTTCCAGGAATTAGAAAACCTTGTCCAAGAGGCCATTCAAATCCAGATTGAATGTCTAAAAAAGCTACTACAGTATGAGATACAGATAACTTTTGATATTTTGGACCTGAAACTTCAGAAGAAGGCTTTAAATCTCAATGCTCCTGTTCCTTTCCCACTCTCAATCACTGGCCAGCCCGGCCAAGATGAATCTCTTAAGTTCAACAAAGCAAACAAAGGAAAGAAAGCGAAAGCCAAGAACTAGAAGGCCCCTGGTGCCTATTGTCTAAAAACTCTGGTTGAGGAAGAACCATCGACAATTATGAAAGTTTTATGTGATATGCGCAACAGATCAGAGATTTCTAGTGATTAAAAGAAACAACACTTATCATTTTACCTCTATCTTTTTTCTGGAAACTGTCTTCTACCACCTGAAAATCTAACCCAAATAGATTTTTCCTGTGTCATGGCAAAAGGCTGTCCTTCTCTGCTAAGTACAGAGCTTTGCGTCCGGCAGGCAGGGAAACATCACTTGTTGACTAAGCCTGAGCTTAGACGCTGAAGACAGAATTACCAACAGGGGGTTGAAGCAAGTAAGAGTGAGGGTGGCACCAGACACCAGGAAGGACTTCCAGCTGACACGGTGGTTCTGTAGCTGGCATGGGGCGAACAGGTCCTGGGATTCTGTCGCCTTTCTCAGCTTTGTGCAACCGCAGCTGCTCTGCATGTACTGGTTTTCCTGCTGGAGGACCAAGGGCCACGTACCTCCAGGAAACTCTTCCTCCTGGGAGAATCTACACTGTTTAGACTGAAGCAGGAGAGCGAGTGCTGTCTTGGGGGTCAGAGATCTGGCTTCTCACCCGGCTCTGCCCCCGGTCTGCTGCGTGACCTTGCGTGTGTCCCTTTCGTCTCTGGGCTCCAGCTCTCTCTTCTCTCCAGTGAGGAAGTTGCTGGCTGGCGTCTAAAGTCCTCCTCCCACTCTTACATCCTAGGAAAGAGACAGGGCGAGTTTCGCTGTTCCTACTCGTCAAGGGGTTCAAGGTTCAAGGAGGTGTGGAGTATTTACTCAAAGTCACTTAGTGAGGCAGTGAAGGAACCAAGACTAGAACTCAAGTCTCTGGACTCTTACTTCCGGGCTCTGTCACCTGCAGCATTGTGCTTCGAGCAAACGGCCACACAAATCCTGTAGTGATTGGCTTACCGCAGCCATAGAATTGACTGAGATCAGGGCAGAAAGGACATGGCCACTCGCTGCTTCTTCCTAGGCCGGCCACCTGCTCTGTTACCTCTGTCATCTGCTCCACGCCACTTGCTCACGATGGGATGGGCCACGGTGCAGCTCTCCTTGTCATCACCGTGCCCATCTCTCCGTGGACACAGCTGCTTTCTAGGCCTTGTCACCTAAGGTGTGCCTGGGTATGCTTTTGAAGGCCAGGCTGGACTTAGGTAGAGAGAGGGAGCCCCAGAGAGGGCATGTCACCAGCCCTGGAGCCCTCTGAGAGAAGTCCAGGGGCCATGAGAACCCTGACGGGGAAGAGGGCCTCGCCAGGAACACTACTCCAGACTCTCTCCCCGTCTTACCTTGATGCCATAGTGAAGGTGATTTATACCTGAGATGTCTGATAAGCTTCTCAATACCTCGCTGAACAGAGGAAGGCGGTTCCAGCATTTCCTTAAAATTTTTATCCTTCATTCGTCCACTTAGGTAGTCATCCTTCATTTCACAAACATTTTTTAGCATCCAAATCTACTGTGCAAGTGAAACTGCTGTGGCCCAGAGGGAAGTGTGAAAGCTGCCATGCAACCTGTGTGTGTGCATGCACATGCAAGCGTGTGTGTGTGTGTGTGTGTGTATGTGTGTGTGTGTGTGTGTGTGTTTGGGGAGGTGAAAAGGGCAAGTGGATATTGCTGCAGCCCAGGTCATATACCGGAGACCCCTCCTGCTGGAGCAGGAGAGAGTCAGGATCCCTGGCCAGCCCGGGAGCAAACGGGGCTCAGAGCACTGGTAAGGTGTCTGGAAAGCACTGGAAATATCGGTTGACACTGGGCTGGGTCAATTCAGTACAAAGGAATTAATAGCTCCCTCTTCCCTTACCTTTCTCCCAAATTGAAGAAAGTTCATCTATCCTATCCACATCCACACCCACACCCAGCATCCCAGCCTTGCCCTCCTGGTGCCCAGAGAGACCCTCAGGACCACCATGGCTTTGAACCCTTTCAGACTCAGGCCATCCAGACTCTGAGTGTGGGTAGTGGACTACTGGTGCTGTCCTCCTCTCTAGACTTGGGCCTCCCCCAGGAGGACTCTTAATGTGAAAGCCCCAGTCACCACTCCAAGGGCTAGACCCCCAGCCTGGCCAGGGTCATCATCCTAGCACCAGCCAAGCAGCCAGCAAGGGGGTGGGTGCTGCAGAGGCTGCGAGAAGGAGAAGGTGGTCCCTGCAGCCTTGTGGGGTCAGCCTGCAGGACACCCCTTCGCTCTCAGGGGTGGCTTGTTCTCTAACCTGGAAGGGTTGGGGTTGAAGCTACAGTTTCAGCCACACAGTAGGTACAGATGTTAAATAATGTCTGGGAACTGAAGGAAGGATGAATGAATGAATGAATGAATGAATGAATGAAAAATTTAAGAAAGTCCTGGAACCTCATTCCTCTGTCCACAGAAGCTCATCAGACTTCCCAGCATCAGACTTGCCAAGGGCAAAAGTGGAGTTAGTGGAAATAGGAGCCCATCCCGCCCTGCCTTGTGGAAACCTCCACCGAGTTAAGTTTCTGCCTTGTGGAAGGTATCCCCATCTAGCAAGGGAGACAACACCCCCATACCCAGATGACTTCCAGGGTCATTTGGTGTCATCTGCTCAAAGACAAGCAGAGGGGGCCTGGGGGAGATTGGTGTCTGAGGAAGAAGGAACCTCAAGGCCAGCCTGACCCAAGAAAAACCAGGCGGACTGTGGAAATGTCGAATTCCAAGCACAGGGCCTTGAGTAGACTTAAGAAGTCACCCTCCTCCTTCAGCTCCTACCCAAATGTGTACACGTCCTGGTTATAGCACTTGTGAAATGTCTATTTCATGTGTAGCCGAGTTGCATTTATGAAAGAGATGGGGACAGGGAAATCACAAGGAACCAGAAATGAGGAGGGAAGACACAGTGACGAGTAAATTCAAGGCCTCCTCGGGACAGGAGTGGAGGCCTCAAGCTCCATACACCATGGGAGCTAAAACTGGGCTTTCAAGGTGAGAACAGAGAATGGGTGGTCCCAATAGGAAAGCCCCTCTCTCTCCCCCACCTGAAGAAGTGGCACCAAGCAACCTTCTGCAGCAACTCGTGGAGGACCCCACATCTGCTGTGGGAGGGCAGAGTTCCCACCTATGCTCCCACACTCAGGCAAGTCCTGGATGCTGACACCACCTAGGCATGGAAACCCCAAAATGGGAGAATGGACTAAAACTGGGCTAAGAGTAGAGTATCCTTTAAAGCCCAAGGATAAAATACCCCAGAGGTGAGGTAACCATATGTCCTGATTGACTCCTCGTGTCCTGGTGTCCTGCCTGGTTTGTCATGGTTTGGTGGAGTCCTATTCAGAATTACTTGAAAGAATCCAGAATGGGATTGGGACCCCTCCACTTGCACTTCCAGCTTCTGCCAAGACTGCATATCATGGTGTGTGAGTTGCATGCGTAGTGACTTTTCACCTCAACTGGAGGCTAATTTCGGAAGGCAATGAGGGCTGGCCTGACTCTCCTTCTCACATTTTCTTGACTCAGTATAACCTTCTCAGAGGCAGCTCATGTGGCTAACCAAGACAGTGAAATGTACGCAGATACAAGCAAATGATGAGAGCTGATCTCCCCTCTGGGGTGGTGCTAAGAGATGGACTCAGTGTTGCTGCTCCTGCCAGTTGAGTCACAGCCTGCAAGATGCATGAAGCCACCAGGTTCCAGAGTCAGCGGGGAAGGTGGGAGTGACAGGTGAGAGGTACGTGCATGATGAGCAGGAGCTAGAAGGCAAGGGTCAGACAGCCAGCGGGAGCAGCCTTGCTGCAGAGACTTTGCCATTTACTCTCTGGAGTGAATCTACGACTGTTTATCTTGGTGTTTGCTATGGCATTTTCATTTTTCAATAACTCTTAGTAGCAATGAGTTCGACAAAAAAAGGAAGTACATGAGTAATAAAAATGTAAATTATCTTGACTTTCTCTTTTTTAAGAAAATTAATGATGAAACTGTAACATGTGCAAAATGGTTATCTGTGTTAACCATCCCCTTGAGAATCACAGTGATGTCAACAATTACATAAAAAAGCAAGACACAAATCTGCTCAAGAAGCATCAACGTTTAACCAAAAAGTCATCAGTTACTTTAAGAAGACTGTCTAAAATCCTGGCCAAACATTATTCTGGGTGTTTTTGTGATAAATCCTGGCCAAATATTATTCTAGGTGTTTCTGTGAGGATGTTTTTGGATGAGATTAATATTTAAATCAGTAGACTAAGTAAAGCAGATTGCCCTCCATAATGTGGGTGACTCTCATTCAATCAGTTGAAGGCTGATTAAACAAAACACTGACCTCCCTTGAATAAGAGAGAATCCCTCCTTCCTGATGGCCTTTGAAATGGGACATCAGCTCTTCCTGTTTCTACAGCCACCTGCCTGCCTTTGGACTTGAACTGAAATATCAGCTCTAAAGATTTTGAACTTGCCAGCCTCCATACTCATGTGAGCTAACTCCTTATAATAAATCTCTCTAAATATACATATAGATATATGTAGATATATAGATACAGATATATAGATATAGATAGATATAGATATATAGAGATTGATATAGCGATAGAGATAGAGATAGATAGACATAGATATAAAGATATAAATATAGACATATTAGATACTGGAATATGGGTAAGGAATCAAGTCCTCATTCTTCTCAGACAGAGTACTCAGAATGGAGCAGGGTCCTAGGCTCTAGTCATCCTCACAGAACTCAGGTACAGGGATAACAACAAAAATATTGATGGTACCTGACACCTATAGCCCTATAAAATAACACTACATCTCAATGGGCATTTACAGTTTGACTGTACAGATCAACAACTCTGAAGATCTGTTCTCCACCTCCTGCCCCAATCAGGTGGTTCTGATGAGGACTCCCAGCTACAGTGCCTCCCTCCCTGGCCAAAAGATGAGCACATGCCCCCAGTGGACCAATCATAGTACTCCATTGCTTTTGGCCACAGTGATTGGTCCAGGCATAGGCACATGACCCAATG